TCCCTAAAGATTTCAGCAGCTACGTGTAAACTGGAGGACCTGGAATGCTTTTGCATACACTGGCCCCATAACGAGGTGAGCCCTGCACGTCCTGGGCTGCGAGGGAGCTGAGGAGCAGCCACTGTAACTGGTGGGTCAGCCCCAGAAGGACGCGTGTTGTCAGCTTCTCACTCTGCCACGCTAGCCTGCTGCCTTTTTTGTTGTCTAAACAGACTTGGCAGGGAACACTGAGGCAAAGGGTTTCTTACCCATTGTGTGAACTAGCTGAAACTGAAAATTCTATTCATGCAAGCTACATTCTTAGGGGGGAAAAAAAGATGTCTGTCAGATGCTTGTGACTATACCCAGGTGGGTCAGGTGCACACCTTGGCAGGTGAAAGGGAGGGGAGGACCCTGCATTTCCAGACCCTGGGTAGACAAGGACCCTGCCAAATTTTGAGCATAGCTGTTCCCATGGCCCAGGTGAACTCAGCCTGGCAGTTGTCTCAATTTCCAAAACTTTTTGAGATTGCTGTTAATGTATCTGAATGTCAGCTGACAAAACCGTAGGTCCTGTCTCTGTGCAGTCTGAAAAGAACACGGAGTGGTGTTCAGCTCTTCCCTGAACATCTAAGCTGTTCCTAGTGATTTATTTTTTTCCCCCCCGAGTGCCTGCTAGTTAGTTTCTGATGTATCTGTGAAATTAAACCAGCCCTACGAAGAAGAAAAAGTATTTCCTAGAAGTCTTAGTACCTGGTTATAGTTTGCAAAGGTGTGTATCATTAGATGCCAGTCTGCCTCTCAAAAACTCCTTGTAGCATGACTGCTCCTTACCATACAAGACAGGGAATCAGGCAGGTAGGCAAAGAACTCAGTTTAGAAATTTACAGGAGAGAGTGCAACCAGCATAACAGCAAGAAAAAAAAGGTTATTCTATAGTTACAAAGTAATAAAGAGTATGAAAACAATCAGAAAATAGGGATATGAAAAATAGAAAATGACATTAAATATATAATAGTAAACAAAGTGTAAGGAAGGTGAAGATGGTTTTTTCATACGCTATTTACCAGCTCTTCTCACTGATACTAAATAAATACCTGCTCTGTATTTGGGAAGAATATTTTCCTGTTCTGTGTTTTAACATTTACTAGAAGATGCAAGAAAGTGACCACATTCTTTTAAAGTCCATAATAATTTGGTAAAAGCTTGGCTGGCACATTTTTAATGCTCTTGAGACCCAGATAACATTAGTGAAAGCTTACTAACACATTTTGAATGGTGAGTTTGCTATTGGAAAAGAAAAAACATTACTCCCTGCAGAGAAAACTGCACAGCTGCGCTCTGTAAGGCTAGTTTGTCCACTACTGAAAATAATCGTGTGATACCTTGCTTTCTAGTTGCTCTAACCCCCTGTACTGGGAAGGCTGAACAGTTGAATTTAAGTAATTTCCCATATAATTGTCTGGTTCAATTATTTGAGGCTGTGTAGGAAACCAGCTCAGAGTTGATAGAGGAACATTCCTAGCGATGTCTTCTGCCCTTTCTTACCTTGTACCTCTTTCCTTGAAACGTTCAAGACAACGATGTTTGGAGATCTTGTTTGTCCAGGAGTCTTGCAGTTCTCCACAAGGTGACACTGCTAAATGTTTCTGGTGTTGGAGGGACAGAGGAAATACCATGGTGTGTGTTCTTGGGCTGGAGAACGGAATGGAGACTCACATGTCCAAAGTCCCAGTTACTGTACTTGTGGTATATTTTTTTTTTTTTTTGCTGCTAAAGCTTTGTTATGTGCAAGATTATTTATGATTATTTGCTTTGTGTGTTTTTTTCCATCTTGTCCCCCATTAGCCATTTTT